ATTTGTTGAATTAGTGAACCATGGTGGTTTTAACTTTGTACTATCTAGTAGTACCTCTAGATACTTGGTGTCAAAATACAGTGGTGTGTGGGGGACAATGTATATAGTATGGAAAGATGACAAAGTGTGGCTAATTGCTGACGCTGGCTGATGGGTACTTAGGGACTTATTTTGCTGGTCCTACTTTCATAGATGCTGAAATTTTCCTTAAGTTAAAAATACAACCCAGCAAGAGTTGGTGGAAAAAACAAGACGCAGATAACTGCGGGGGCTTGGCCCTTCAGGTCCCGAGTTACACGTGTGACACTGGCCAGCCCACAGCTTCCCACACCCCCGTCCACCCATCTAGACAGCACAGTTTTGACTTGGTGTTCTTCCGGTCCCTTCCAGAACCCTGACGTTTTCTGCTTCCAGGAAGAGGTTCAGCTTCTTGATGCTGATTATTCCTGCCACCTGGTGGCAGGATCGTAGACTTACTTTTGGAACATGAGGGTGGAGCCTGCCTTTTTACGGTTAATGAAAGAGGGAGGAGTGAGGGTGGGAGGCCGGCATAAATGGCCACAAGAGCACCTCTGGATGTATTTTGTAATGTGCAATGGGGTTGTTTTACCCCCAGCGGAATGCACGCCTTGGCTTTGTAGCATTTTTGGGAAGAACAATATCTTCCAGTTGATGATTTCCAACAGCAACAATGGGGTTGTTGTGGGTGTTAACTGGTGCCTAAAAAATGACCCTTAAAACACCTGTTTCCCTGCTTCTTTTTAAATTGGAGTCGTGGGGACTGTAACAGTTGGCCCACGATGACTTCTTAGCCCATTGTTTCTTTCCATCTATTTAGCAATTCAGATTAATGGATACCTTAGTACACTGGACTCCTACAAGCATGACTGTATTCTGAGCGCACACCTGTCCACTGAATGGATAACAATGTGTGGGTGTCGTGTATGAGTATTTCTCAGCAGTTGACAGTACCACTTTGAATTTCTCTACTTAGCATTGGTTGCTGGGTGTACTAAGGGTGATGATCCTGGATTGAGCCCGTCCTGAGGGGCAGATCTTTGAACCAGGAGCACATGGTGGCTGAGTTTTTTTTTCCCTACGTTTATTTTTGATCATGCATTTCCATGCTGTTCCAGCAACGACAGAGCCGCAGTGGATGTTACCGGGGGTACAGGTGGACAGAGGTCTTTGATACTAATTTCTCCCTTTCATTCAGTTTCTAACCCATAAAACTTCTAGAACATAAGAGTTCTAAAAACTGAAATTACCTCCCCCCTCTACTTGTGGTGGGTGTCCCCTTCTATAGAATTTTAGCTGAATACATGGCCACCCAGAATAAATGCTGCGATTCCAAGCTTCCCTTTTTAACTAGCCAATGAAATGCAGAGAGAAGTGGAGCCCTGAGTGGGGCGGGCAGCTTGGGGACACTTCTTAAGAGATGGCTGGCAGGTACTCTCTGTCCCTCTGATCCCCTCCTCTGCCCTGCTGCCTGGTGTGTGGATGGTTCCAGCTGGGCTGTGAACACAAGGTCCCGTCCTGTTGATGACAGAGTGGTGAACTGCGGGGGTGGGGGGACGTGGGTCCCCGAAAACCTTGAGCTGTGCTCCCACTCTGGCTCTGTACTTTACTACCCGCCTCCTGACCTATCTGTAGGAAACAAACGTCTCCCTTATTACTTCTGGCTTTTGCTTTTATACGCACCTGGACTTACATAATACTTAGTAGGTACAAGACACTGCATGAACCCCTTGACAATGTTTTGTACTTGATCCTAAGAAGCCTGTGATCCCCTTTTTCACAAATGAGGAAACTAAGGCAAAGATAAATAAGTTACCGGACTCGGAGTGCACAACCAGAAGCAGATGAGATGGAATCTGAACTCAGACTTTCCAACCCCAGGCCATACTGTGCTCACAGATTTTGGCCCTTGGGCCAAGACCCTTTGGCCTTGGGCATGTCTAAAGGCAAAGTGGTGTACTTACAGATGGAATTCCTTTTTCATTAAGAAAACTCGATTTGAACTCTAGATTATTAAAAGACTAGAGTAGAAATGACAGAGGTACTAAAAATACCGGAAATGCTTGTGGCCACTTTTAAACTATATTTAGGTTCTGGTGGTCACTTCTCTCACCAGCACAGTGGCCTTCCCATAGACTGGTTATAAGTCAGCTCTGCCCTTTAAATAACAGTGGTTAGTGGCCCCAGGCTGGCTCTGACTTGACCACGGGAAGGCGCCTGCGTGGATGAAACCTGGAGGTGTCCCAGGGTTACCTTTGCTTCATTACCATGCTAAGATCT